GAGATCAAGGGTACCATCATTCCGAAACATGCACTTGGACACCTTGACAAATATCGTATCACTTTGGACAAACATCAATGCAGAAGTAGTTGAACATTGTGTCGTTGATGCCCATCCCTACGAATTGATTGTCAAAACCTGTTGGGAGATGGATGGGGCAAAGGAGCTGAGGTACCCAGATCGCATGGACCGACACAAAACCAAGGTCAATGCAGTGACGCGTGGACAGCCGGGTCAGGACACCTCTGGATTTGATGAAAACATGTGGCTTGATCTTGATGACTTCTTTCGAATGTTCAATCAAATGCTGCCAGCCAAGTTGCCTCGGATGACGGTTGAAGAGCTCATCTCCCTTCTTTACTGGGACAACAAGTGCCGTTTTGAGTTCCAGTGCATTGCCGGGTACCAGAAGGCAACCCGTAAAGGGTTAGCCTACTGGCCCATCAGGATCCGTGCAGTGCAGGGGCACACAAAACGTGCCATGGATGCCGCCTCGGCTGAGGACACGTTCAATGCAGTGGAAATCTATGCTCTGTCTGGAGCAGCAGCGATCCAGAAAATGAACGCCAAAGGTAAAAAGATTACCACTCCTCAGATGTGCCCTGGCGTAGTTTATCACAGGACTACAAAAGGCAATTGGAAGGGCATCATTGAGAATGGCTTCGTTCCTGGAGGAGGAGATCGAAATTCATCAGGCAGAGCACACTCCTATTTTAGCGAAGTGCGTGTCGATGAGAAAGAGTATGTGAGTGGTTTGCGTGCTGAACGACCCATTGAAATCAGGGTAGCAATGGCTGAAGCTGTCAAAGCTGGCATTGTGTTTTTCAGGACGGCCTCTGACGGCATTTTGACAAGTGACGTCGACCGCCTCAATACATTATCTCTGTCGATGACACTGCCAAGAAGGTGAATTTGTATCGCCGCCATCAGGAGGTCGCACAGTCTGCAGCAAGCAGTGGGGGAGAAGTTGGAGTCCAGGAGCTTGTCGAGACCTTTGAGGCCAAGGCATCAAAACGGACTGGTTCCAAGTCTCCGGCCGCCTCAACTGGCGCGCCCACTGCAACAGCATTTTTCCCAGGAAAGGTGAAGCCTCCGCCACCAAATGTGGCCCAACTTGCCGGTATGCCTGGATATGCAAGCAGCAGATTGTTGCCCCCTCCTCCGAAGGGTGAAGCTCCAAAGCCTCCTGCAGCAAAGGTTGAAAGCCCAAAGACACCGCCGAAAGCGCCTCCAAAACCATCACCGAAGGAAGGGACTTCTGCACCTCATGCACCAGAAGTTCCAAAAGCTGTGACCTCAGAAGTTGATGCAGCAGCAAAGGATGAACCTGCAAAGAAGAAGGCAGCCCTGACAAGCGTGCCCGCAGCTGTGCCTGCGGCATCATCAGCTGCGGCCTTCTTGGAGCCCGTTTCAAAAGTTGCACCGCCGAAGGCAGTACAAAAAGATCCAAAAGCTCCAGTTGCAGAGTCACCCAAAAGGACGCCGGCATCAACATCCAAGTCACTGGTGCCAAAGCAGAAGTCTCGCCCTAAAGGCGATGACCAACCTTCGAAGAAAGAGGTGAAGAAGGAGGACAAGAAGCCGGTGCCGGTCAAGATTGAAGTCATGCAATGTTCAAGATGTTTTGCACAGACTTTCAAGGGACAGATTGAATGCGATGTGTGTGGATTGATGCTCGAAGGGGTGAACAAGGCCGACCGAACCAAGATTGCAGAACGCAAGAAGGCCGCCCTTCACAAGCTGGGCTTGTACTATGATTTTCGTGGTGAGTACCTGCAGAGCATCACACACAGTCAGCTTGAATCTTTGGGTTTGTTGGACGACCAGGCAAGGGGAAGCTCTAGTCCGGAAGCCAGTCTATTGGCAAGGGCAAAGAGTCGATTTGACCGTGCCTTGAGCTTGGGCTATGTGTCTGTGGCTGACAGGTTTGCCCAGGACGCCACATTCGCAGAGAGCGTGCTGAACGAGGGGGAGAACGAGTACGACTGTGAACGGTACGACCTCCTCAAGTCTGCACATTTGCCAAAGCCGGGTCGCACCAAAGCTCAGGTCAAGATGGGTGTTTCTGAGCAATCTCAGCTGGAGCACAACGCGATGAGGCTGGTTTACTTGGATTTGGCAAGCCGTCTTGATGTCCCGAAATCGTTCAGGTACATCGACCAACCATGGTTCTACATGTACCGTACGGAAATCTACTCCGAGGAAGAGTACATTGACTACCTCAACCGGAATCCTGGACACAATCTTTTGTTGTCTTGTACCGGTGTTGACAACATTGCTGTTCATGATGCTGAACGTCATTTGAAGTGGATCAAGGGACAAAACGAAGAGCTGTACAAGCAGAACGCTGCAGAGAAGAAGAAGCAGTCTGACAGGGCTCGCGAGCAGAACGAGGCCAAGCGCAAAGCTGAGCAGACTGGAGCGTACGGCCAAGGTCCCTCCAAGAAAGGCACCGCCAAACCGGTTGCCCGACCATCCACCGTAGAGGTAGCTTCATCATCAACGTCTGCAAGTCAGTGGATCAACCGCCCTCAGCAAAGTCAGTCCCACGATGATCGCCGTTACACTGGAGAATGGCAGAAGTGGCATGGGCGCTGGTACGAGAAAGTCATCAGGCATGGCCGTGTTGAGTGGGAAGAGGGATAAGTTGTGAAACTGCTTGCATCGACGATCGGTTTTTGTATAATAGCCGCCGAGTGTGTTTTCCCTTGGGTTTGCGAAGAGCCAGTTCGGTGAGGCAGGTCTTAAAGACCTCGCCCTGGTAAATGTGGCATCCTCGCCGTAACCGGCTCACCTGAGGGGGGTGTAAAAGCACCTCACATAAAACACACATGTATACTAGCATGTTACTACAGCATTGCGGCTCAGACGGAAAAGGTGCTGCTGAGTCGTTAGCTTAACGGTTTTATCCCATTGTTTTAGGTTTATCAGTCCATTTGGGTGTAATAGGAATTACCCCAGCTGAAACCTGAAAATACAGTCACGGCTACCAAGGAAAGCAGATTGCCATAGATTCTGAATCAACATTGTTACACAACATGGTACTCTTTGGATCTCTTTGGAGTGTGTCAAGCGAGGACGAGAGAGGATGTACCATGGCAGCACCCTTCGAAATGCCAGTATTGTTGAGCTCCCACCAGGCCAAGCTGAAGGACAGACAAACCTATGCAGATCTATGCAGATCTATGCAGCCTATGTAAATCTATGTAACATAGATGCTTTTGGCGTCCTTTGGCGTCTGGCGGTTGAAAGGTGTCTCCTCCAGACTGTTTGGATCTTGACTTTGCCCATCTTTGCCCTATGGTTCGCTTGTTTTTGCTTGTTTTCACATATGTGCCTGATGTTCTTTTTGGGAGGCATCCCACATTGTGGCTACGTTCAACGCCTCCAAGCTCATTGCAGGCTACATTTCATATCAAATTAATTCATATCAAGTCGCCACAAGTTACTGTCAAGGCTATCACTACGAGCTCTGTTTGGCTGCATACCGCGTGCTGGAGGATGAACCTGAGGTGCGGAGTTAAATTCTGCATATTTCACTGGTTTTAGACCTTGGGATTGCCATGTTTTTGATGTTTTATGTGATTGCATAGGCCGGGATGAGTGGAGCGTTGGTTTTTGCCGCTTGGTGTTGAGAATTGGAATAGTCAATGGTGACCAGTGGTGTTGCTGGAAGAGGGCAGGGGTGAGGAACATCTCGAAAGCAAGTTTTGCCGTGTGGACCAAAGCCAATGTTCAGATATCCTCGATCACCGTCCATGTGAAATCTTGCAAAATCTACTTATCTACTTGCCACAAAAGATGTTTGCGATTCAGTCGCTGTGGAAACTGCAACAAAATATTGCAATATTTCTTCAATAATTTCAATATCCTAAAGCGCTTAGAAAAGTGCTGGCAGCGTAAGAAGTGGCCGAGTCTGGGGAAATCCTAGGTCTCTGGGATTACTGCAGCCAGAGGGGTGCTGGCAGAGCCGCAGGGAGGTCTTGGAGTGCCTCAGCCAGATTCAGCATCGTCACATTCGTCACATTGACACTGCATATTGCAAAGCCAAGCAAAGCCTCATTTGTCATTCTTGCTTCACCTTGAAGGATTCCCAAATTTGAATATGGTTGAATCATGTTGAATCATGTTGAATCCCTGCGTTTGACTTTTTTGTATTTCTGGGTCTGGCTCCATTGCCCGCGAAAAGAAAGAACGATTGATGTTTGGGTCTCTGAAAAGATACCAGGTTCAAATTGCTGCTGGACAAGGGCTGGTGGGTGGCCTAGAATCGACATCCAGCGCTTCATAGAATTCCTATGAATTCCTTCCACCAAGGAGAACTGAGAGATTCGAAATGATTCGAAATGATTCGAATGTTGAACCTGGTGACCTGACCTACTGAGGTGCTGTCTTGCGGCAGCGCTGCTAACTGTTCCACCGATTCAGAGGCTGGGTGCGTCGCTATGCGATGCTCATTCCACACTCTTGGCGCGTCATGACGTGGGCGATTTTCCACGTTTTTCTTCTGGCCTTGTTCAGACTTTCAGAATCTTTCAGACCTGACTCACAATGAGAAGTGGACGATTTGGCTCAGACTGCGATTGACGACGGTTTTCAGCTGCGGTGTTCAAGCCTGTACATATGGTGCCCAACGAAAACGTGAGATTTTCAGATTTTGTTTTTTCATTTGTTTATTTTGTTTTCCCCATCTTGACGCTTCACGTCTTGAAGATTTCGTGTCCTAAACAAACAAAACTCAACTCGCAGCAGTGAATTCCAAAGTGCATGGCCTGGAGTTGCGGTATCTCCACTTCAAATAGGCGACAAGTAGGCCAGAGACTGCCAGAGGGGTAGACTTTTCTGATTCTTTAAGCAGGAAGTTTTGCAGTTTTGAGAGTTTGACTCCTGTTGTATAGGAAGGTTGTAACATGTTATAACATGTTGTAGCAGCGTAGCATCTTTCTCGCTGAGAGTCTCAGTGGTTCTGAGATTGTTTTTGCAGCGAGGCGTTGATTACCATGAGGACCTCAGAATCGTCGCATCAAGGCTGGAACTCCTTCAGCATCTTCAGCCAGCCAGAGTTTATCCGTTGCTGAGACCAGATGAAACGAAGGATGCGGCAATGCATGAAATCGTGCTAGGATAGTACTAAAACTACATAATGATCATAATGCATCATAATTTAACCATATTTCATAATATTATGTGTATATATATATAACTTACAGTAGCCTTATAGACATACTTTTCACTTTACCCGGTGTCTTGAGGCCTGGTTCATGGCGTTTATGGGGATGCTTCCCTTTTTGCCAATCTTCCCATGGACAACTTGGACCTGTTGATAGCCTTGCTGAAGAACGACTTGAACGCCTTGGCCAAATGCGCCAGCACGTGCCGAGCCTTGGAATCAAAGTCTAATCGAACCGGTCCTTGTGCACATAGATCGCAGTCTGATAATCTAATTCAACAAGAAAGATTTTGAGAAGAACAGTCTTTCACAGTCTTTCACAGTCTTTCACGGTCCAGGGGCCCAGGGCAACTCGTCGATATATGTCGATATTATGGGACAAGTCAGATCTGTCCGAGGCTTCTGGAAGGCTGAAATGCAGGATGCACTATTTCGCGCTTGGCATTGCCGTGCTTGCAAAACAAAGCTGCTGCATCGCCGAGCTGTGCGTCGCTTTAATGAAGCTTGCTTTCAGGATGGTCCAGCCCTGGTGTGCGAAGTAAACGATGAGGCCGGAAGTGGTGCAAGGCTACAAGGTTCCTGATTGCCCATGATTGCTCAATATATCTCAATATGTTCAATGAAAGTGAAAGCTTCCTTGTGTTTTCTTGTCGTTTGAATGCAAATATGTTTTACCAACAATATCCAACAATTATGACCAAAATTAGGACCATTTGCCTCTTTCATTTTGTGACGACGTTCTAGGGCATGGGCTTAAGTGGAGCGGAGACGATGAAGAGCTTCGATGGTTCTGGTGCCTTTGAGGCCTTTCGATTCACACGGAGCCGAAAGAAAGAAAATCCAATCTGCTTGGAACAGGTCTTGGCACAGTTCCCAGGGCACGACAGAATTCGTCAGTCGCATTTCATCTACTGCAGGGCGTGCCAACGATTTCTGGGATGTCGTTTGCAGATGACAAGAGAACCATTTGAAACTCCACTAGGTTTGGACATTCTACTCTTGTGTTTTCCATACCTTCTTGAACTTGACGCAGAAGGTATACCTGTGAGGAAGCTCGAGCATGAAACCATTTTCCACTGCTCCGGACGTTTGAGCAACGGAGTGTGTGGTGCCAGTCTCTTTAGGCAAGATTCAGTGCTTTCAGAACGACACGCATGGAGAAAGCCCGAATCGAGGAGAGTAGAGCCGGCATGGTACATCAACAATTTTTTCATTGAAGCTGTCAATGTCGGACGTCCTTCCTGTAGTCATCTTGCACAAGGTGTGATGGAAACAGCTACTGTGTGGTGTTCCAAGTGCGAGGCTACTGTTGGCTGGAAATTTGTGAAAGATCTATGCTCAAAGAAGCCAAATGTTCACTACGTCCATCGGTTTGGTGTATGTGAGTCTTCTGTCTTGGAGCTTGCAGCAGGAAATGCGTCAGGGGACACTGTGGACACTGACGAACAATCACTGGCACTTGACATGGAAGAAGAAAATGAAGAAAATGAAGAAAATGAAGAAGATGAAGAAGATGAAGATTCCGAAGAGGATGAAAGCAGTGAGGATTTGTCTCCGGATGGCCTCAAAGATGACGCCAGTCAGGAAGTTTACTTGGAGGTCTCAAATCAGGATAGTGAGACACCAACTTGTTCCCATGTTAACCGTAGATTTTAAGGCCATAGTGGCCAAACTTGTACAAAGTATGCAAACTCCAAATTTTAATCGAATCTTTGAAATTCTTTGAAGATGGTTTGGCTGGAATCGGTTGAGTCAATACCTGTAGGAAAAAGATGGAAAAAGGGTTTAAGTCTGTCACGTTGTGCGTTGCATTGAGGTGAAGTTGTGAAAAGGACGCGCGGTATACATGTGTATGTTTTCTGAGATTAGCACCTATGCGGGCTTGCAAGGTAGCTGTCTGAATGCCCAATCCAACTGTGTTGGAACGATGCTTGAAGGGCGAACATGGGAGGAAATCCTGATCTACGCTCCATTCGGATCCATTCGGCACTTCTTCCTTTGCCAATCTTTGCAGGTCTTTCTGGCAGGTGAGCAAAGCACAGGCATGGTTTGCCCAGTGGAATTCTTCACCTTGAGCTTCTGTGAGTTGGTTTCGATCGTAGCGTGTAACTACTATATTACTGTGAGTGAGAGATATGTGAGACTAAAATGGCTCAGCAGCACATCTTAGCAGCTAATCTTAGCACGTCTGAACAGGTCTTCAACAGGTCTTCGACAGGTCTTAATGCTAATCAATCTCAACGGCTCGGCTACAGATCTTCACAGCAAATCAGCTCAGCGAACACGTCTCACGAGTCTCACGAGGTCTTTTGACAGCTGCTGGAGCTGCCTTGACATCACCTGCGGCCTTGACGCCAGTCGGCCAGGCCCAGTCACAGATCTTTACAGCTCTGCACGTCATCTTAGAATATCTGAGATAGCTGTGTCTCTTTTGAGTTGGATATAGTTGGATTAAAAATGGTTTAAAAAAAATGGCAATTCCATTTGTAAGTATTTGTCAACTTTAAAGTGCAAGAAACAACTCTTCATAGGGGACTGTGACACATGAATTGGACACTGACTAGGCTAGTCGGAAGTTTCTCAGAGATAGGGTACTGTCAAAAGCCATCTTTTTTCAGGAGTGGTTCGTGACCATTGATGCGAGCAGCTGGCATCTTACTGCGCGAATTGTGTTCACTGAAAAGCGTTGCAAACCACAATTCTTCTCTTTTCAAAGGCACTATGACATACTATGAATTCTGGGATAATTTGGGACATGCAACGACCTTCCATGGGATGTTGCCATGGCCATGGCACAAGCCAGAACAGCCTCCATGGTCGTTCACATTTTGGCATCTTGCGGATCCTTGCGGATCCTTGTGGCATGTCCGAGGTTTGACGGCTGGAAAGTATTACCTTCTTTGTCAGCTGCCTCAGGATGTGCAGCTTATAGGATTTGTAGGCTGTCAGGTGAGGACAAATGGGATACAAATGGGTAGACATCATCTGTCATCATCGAACATCATCTGACATCCTTGCGCGAAGGTTGTGACATGCCGTACCATGTTGTAACATGTTGTAGCTAATACCTGGAAGATCAGAGGTCTTGCATCGTCTTGCAAAGATGTGTGAAATGCAAAGAACTTTGGTGAACCCTGCCGTGAGATATGAATGAACATTGTGACATGATGACATGATAGAGATTGCAGACTCAGGTGTGGATTTGTTTGGAGTCCAGCTTAGCTTGCAATCTTGCAATCCCATGGCAGAAAGATGCTTTTTCATCCAGCCTCAAGATGTCGAATGTGTCATTGGCTCTTCCAAACTTGTCGTCAAACGTAGGAAAGGTGTCTAAAGTTAAAGGTATCCATTCTTGGAGCCATTGCTTCCCGTTTGGGTGGCTCTCGTAGAGATCGCCATTGAGGCATTGCCCCTCCTGGCTGCACGGGCTTCATGGTTTTCGCGCCTGGTGCTTAGCCTATTAGAAAGGCACACAAAGGCACATGTTTGTCAAGTCTCGACAGCTGGCCACTAAAGTTTGAACGTTTTGCACCTCAGCCATTCCAGTTCACGCAGGGAACGTGGAGAGAGGCTGTTGAGATATCAGATAGTGGTTTCCTGGTTGGCTTGCATTAATTTGGTTTAACTCGCGTGAAACGGTGCATGTGAACTTGGCCGAACTTATTTCACAACTACCCGTGCCTGCGGATGTTCACAGAGCACCCAGGTTTTGAGAAATAGGCTCAGGAGATTCCGAAATTCGATACCCACTGTCAGGTCCAGCTTGAGTGCGAGCACGCAGACAGTGGGGTTTGCAGGCGCAACACCGCGCAGCATCGCGCAGCATGGTGCAGCATTGTGCAGCATACACTGTGACATGTTCTCGACATGTTGCGATTGTTTTATGCCTTCTGGCACTGAGGAAGCCAGCTGGTTACGTTTTCTTGCGCAAAGCACTCGGAGAGATCCAGTTCTGATCGCCAACACAGTTCCTGAAAGACCCTGAAAGGAAAAGGATGGAGAGGTCATGAAAGGTCAAATGACGTTTCCACAGTTTTTGCCAAGATTCAACCAGAGCACCAGAGGGTATTGCATTTCAATCAATTTAACTATTTTGCAATCGCAGTTTACAGTGGCATTGCACGGTGGCACTGAAAGGTGGCTGCAAGATTTCAAGACTTGGCATTTTCTGGCATTCGGTTGCATTCGGCTCATATTTCAAGGCTTCTGGCTGCATGTCCAGCTCCTCCGTGTATTTGGCCCGAGATTGCTCGACAGGCATGGAGCAACTTGTGCTAATTATGCAAAATATACAGCTGAAATATGCTGAAATGAAAAGATCAGTTTCAAGTCACTGAACTCTCGGAGGCTATGGAGGTCCCACGACGATGCCAACTCCCATGGCAACAGCCCTGAATGGATGGTGACTTCAGCGAGAAAACAACTGTTTGCTGTTCACATGGAGATCGACCCTGCTTGTGTAGGCCATTTCAGGCCTCCACAGTGTCCACCAGTGAAAATGACCGATGTCCACCATTTGAGTAGCGGGCTGCGAGGTTGCAACGCATGGCAATCTTTGGACTGCTCTGCAGCAGGTTCAGCACTAGTTCTCCACTCTGCGCCGAAATTCTTGATGATTCGACCCAGTGTGTTGCTTTGGGTGCCACAATCTGACACAACACAGCACACAAGGTCTCTATATGTCTCTGTATCAATTCTATATCTCTATGTCGTTTGCTCATTCGAGTGCACTGAGTGCACCAAGCCTGCATGTTTTGAGGCTGATGCGCTGATCAGCGGCTTTCGCTATCAGATGTGTGTTTTGCTAAGGGGATCGCAGAAGTCAATCTGCAACGGGTCCCAAAGCAGCAATTTTTGGGCAGATCCTTTGAAACAAAGGTGTAGACATGGACGGCTCTGGAATTTTGCCAACTGGGCCCTCAGGGGTGGTGGCCAGGGACCTAGACTTGATACATCTTGATACTTTTGGCTAAAGTAATTACAATGATTTACAATGGCACGAGTGAATCCACAGCATGAAAAGCCAGCTTAATAACAAACGTAACAAAGCATAGTCACAGTTGGAAAAGCTGTACGAGAACTGGTCACGTGCTGCCTCGTTGGCCAACGAAGAGCTTCCAAAATTTCCAAAGGTCTACGTGTCGGGGGTCTCTCGTATATTTCCAAGCTACGTGACCGATGACGGTGAACAACAAGTGGTTTTGGAGTGCGGCGAGGACAGAGGGAGCTTCGGACTGGAACAACATCATTGCGCCATTCATATTATCATAATATGAGTCATCATTTGGAAGAATGGAAGGATGACTTCCTTGGACTGTGGATGTTTTCAGGAGATGCCTTGCAGGGCTTCTCGAGCACGCTGGGCAGCCTGGGATTTCAAAAAGTCGGCTATGTTAAATGAATCATTTTGAAAATCGTTGAACTAGGGGTGCCTCTGTTCTGAAACAAGAGTAAAAGAATTTAAAGTATCCAGTAGTAAAAAGCGATCATTCTTGCAATGACTGTTCATTGAGGACTTGTACGTGACTCCTGCAGCTCAAATACTAGTGATGCAACAGAGTGGCGCTCCATTTCTGCAGGCTTGGCCACAGTCGCAGTTTATGATTTTGATTCTGATATATTTGGATACTTGTATCCAGCCAATCAGCATCGAATCAGCTATTAGTCCACTGCTCCATTGATGTGACATGCTAAAGGTGTCAATGGCAGCATTTTGAACGTTTTGACAGATGCTTTGGTGGTGCTGCTCTCAGTTTGTGTCGTTTATGTGTTTGTCTCTTTTTGAGAGTCTCACTGGATTTGGAATCTGGAGGCCGGTGCTCATTATGTCTTGTGCACCGAAATGGAAGCTCCCAGTTGCAAACCCAGAAATCTTGGCGTCTTCCACTACCATAGAGATCCATAGAGTCATAGCACATCCAAGACCTCATTTGCTGAAGAAACAATGTGCAAGATGGCCAACCGTTTCCTGTCTCCAGGTGAAAGCTTTTTGGCTAACGAAACCCTGGTGACCTTGTTGCATTTTGGACGAGACTGGCATATGATGCATTTGAGATACATACAGTACATACCTGACTTCAGCAAGGATGTGGGCGATTCGGGCTTCACTTTGTACGTTGGAACCTGACCTTGCATCACATTGTACTTCAAGTCATACGAGTCATACTGTATCTTTTCTTGGACTGTGATCCACAAGATGGCACATGTGTTCATGTGGGATGTGACATGATGTAACAGACTGTAACAGTCTAGCTTCAAAACACTCGTGGTAAAATCAGCATTGTAAGGTTCACTCCTGGAACGTGATTTTGAGGTGTCGCCTGTGCAGGGTTTCGAGTCTGGATCCTGGAAGATGTCGGCAGATGTCGATAGATGTCGGCTTATGTCAGCCTGTCAAGGGAAGTGCCAAACTTGTCGCTCCATCGGCTTTCGGGTCCTGTGATGTTTGGACATGAGGCCAATGATTCTGCTTCCAAGCCAGCAGCAGGCGATTTAAGTTTTAACGATTTTTAACGTACACGGCATACAGTTGCAAAACACGCAAGAGATGGACACGTATATGGTTGTTTGATGTTGTTTGTTAGAGTGCGCACGTCGCAAAATTCAGTGCCGACCTTGCCCATTGCCTATGGTGCTTGTGCTGGCGTGTCAGGTCTTGACTTTGAATTGCACAAGCTCTGCGAACTGCACCTCCAAGTCTTGGGTTCAGATCAATTTTGCTAGTCATAGCAGATCCGCAACATTGATAACAGAATATAATAACAGAATATAACAGAATCCGATTGCATCAGAGACGTCAAAACAGAGTGATCAGATTGCTTCCGAAGGACGTCTTGCTCTGTGTCTGCATCAAACTGAGGACCCAAGGCTTCTTGAGTCAAAGCTGTGGATCTGGTGGACTGCTGGCTCCGATGATCAATGAGATGGCGGATCGCACGGGTGCCAAGTTTGGATTTTCGCATGTTGCTTTTGGAGCAGAGCCGGAAGATTTTTCCCATCCCAAATCATCAAGTTCAGCAAGGCAACGGAGGGAAAGCATGGGAAAGCACAGGAAAGCATGAGAAAGCAACATACATGAACTGGTTGAACTACGTTGAAATATGTTGAAATATGTTGAAATGGTTCGAGGCACATCAGCTGCTACGCTGGAAGTTGAAAACGAGATGGTCCAACTCCAAGATCTCGAACATCACGCCATTGGTCGACCCTTCGCATGATGTTGCTAATATGTTGCTAGTTTATGGGTCGTGCCGACCAAGGCCCAATGGCGCCTGACATTGGACACGTCCCAGCTCATTCCAGGAGCCTTGTACAGAACAGAGTCATAGTCTGAATGGCGCTATTCAACTCAGCTCTCTGTCTAAAATCAGCGGCATGTTTTGGCCCTCGTGTTGCAGGTTCTTGGCATTCTCCGGTCACTAGCCCCGGGGTGTGTCCTCTAGGACGGCATTACAAACTCTGCGTGGACATGGATGGCGCTGAGAATTCTTTCCAGCCAGGACAGCTAGAGTCTCAACATGTCTCAATGGAATCAAGCTTGATGGGTGATATGAGTGCATGATGGTGCATGTTTCATAGAAGCCCGTCAGCTGAGCGAGATGTATTGCAATCAGTATCATTGGTTGAAAATTGGTTGCAATCTCTCAGGTCTTCACCTATCCAGGTGTTCATCTCTCCAGTCTTACCCGCAGATGTCCAAACCGTGAAGACCATCCAGGCCTTCACTGTTTTCACTGAACATCACTAAACAGTACATCACATCACATCAGACATTTGTATACATTTGTTAGTCATAGTTAGCGTATGTTAGTGTTGAAATTGGCATGAACATTAAGACCGTGCGACCTGCATCTCCGCTTATCATTGTGGACCTGACTGCCCCACGATGCCTCACCATGGCGTTGATTCCATTTGTTTCGGCCAGGATCAAAGCATCAGCATGCAATGTGCTCAGTTCATCTCAGTTCATCTCAGTTCAAAGTGACCCACGTGTGAAATAGCCCAGATCATGTTGTTTAACATGTGCATACATGTGCCAATCTGGATTTAGTTGTTAACACTGTTTCACATTGTTCACCCTCTCAAGAATACTGAGGCAGTGTGTCAATGGGGCAGCCTGCTCCACTACCTCTGTACCAACCTCAAGCCATACCGCACAACACATGATGCAAAACGGAAATGAATCTGCCCACAATCATTTTCTCATATTTTCTGAAGTGAATGCAGGTGTGGTACCTGACAACCGGGTCATGTGGAGAACCAGCGGATGCTTCGCTGCAGCCGCAGCCCATGTCCCCAGTCCAGGCCAGTCAATACAGTAGGGTTGAGCTAGTAACATATATTAGTAACAAGACTCCAGGACTATCCAGGAATACTCCAGGACAATTGGAGATGTGCCGAGGCAGCACGCCAGATGTGCAGATTTAACCACGTTTTCGCAAAGCATAATGAGATATGCTGCAGTGCGGTCAACACATGATGTACACTTTGCATCACTTTGCTTCGGCTATTTTGTGACAGGCGGTTGGGCGTTTGGCTTTCGGTGGCCAGGCCACGAAAGGAAAAACGGTGTTTTGGCGTACGATATTGGTGTTTTGTTCTGATGACAGAAAAAAGCAGTACGCCATGTATGCTGCAGCATGCTCACCAAACAGCCTGCCTTTTTTGTCATCCTGCCAAGTCTTCCGACCCCAATCTTCTACAGTCTTTCACAGGTCAATCATCCCCAAGTTAGGGGGTTGGGGAATCCTCAACCTCCTCCGGTATGCCAATGTTGATAATGTTGTAGGATTTTCTAAGCCCTTGAAGGCCACTTCAATCCTGCAAATGAATTGGACAGGCAGGGCATTGGATGGCCCAGCTCGACGGTCGACAGCTTCAAGCAGGTCCTTAACTTTTCAGAGCAGATATACAAAGCAATCGCTGATGGGCTGATGGTGAAACATCTGATGTGGACATGCCTCACAGTTATGAACCATAGTGTGAAGGGGAACCAATGTGTTGTCAGCTTGGTTGTGAAACTCATCCATTCAGAACTGCCCATTACTCTCTTTTTTCAATCTCTGCGCAGGAGTCCACTATCGGTTATGTCTCGATCTTGACAGTGCTGGTGCACTTTGGGCTGGAGATACGGGTCTCGAGGTGCCGTGCGGTGTCTCAAGATGTCTCAAGTTTCAGACCGGGCTCATAGATGCTCGTAGCATCCGAAGCAGGATACAGAACGATACGAAGCGATACAAAGCGAGTCGGTGTCAGTCGGTGTCGTGCCTTTCAGGGACTTTCAGGGCCGTTTTGGGCAGGTCTACGCTTCCGGCATCCTATCCTTGGCGCCTGCGCAGATTCTGATCTCTGCCACAGAGAGGGTGAACTTGACGTCAGAAACCTCAGCCAAGTGGTCAGGCGGTGTGGAAAATAACAGAAAATAACCAATTCTGTCTGGTAAGGCTCATTGGAGACGTGAAGTCAAAATAAGTGAAACACGTTTTGAAGTCATGTCTCCTTTCGCTGCTTTAAATATGGGAGTTGCTCATGCCACCTATCAACAGACGACTACAATTATACTTAATCATTGAGGGATTTTGATTGACTACGCGACGAGTGTTGAAAGGTGTGTGGCTGGTGGATGCCTGTCTGGGGCGGTGCTTTGGCTGGTGGGGCACTTAACTGTCAAGCGGTCAAGCCAACAAAAGAGGTCGACTCGAAGATGGAAAAATATGTGACCCCAACATCCCCAACCTCAAGTGCCACAAGCGCCTCAAGGCCAGTGGATGTGAGACTCCTTTGACATCGCTGGAGTCGTTGGTATAGACCTCAACATGATCCCAGTGTGCTTTAAATATAATAGACTGGCCGACTTGAAGAATAAAACAGACAAACAGAAAATCGACACACTGTGTCCATTGCGCTCATGTTGTCTTATTTCTCCCTAATGTAGTTGTTCGAAACTTGCCACTGGTGGTGTTTGAGTTGTGGATTCGATTGTCATGACTTCAGTCAGAAAACGTCCAGGGATGTGGGGCTTCACTGGGCGCTGGACAGTCCTGCTGTTTTACCACTGATCGGTTCACAAGGTGAGCATCCAAGCAACAGAGGCGGCAGTGGTTTTTGACACCACGTCGGTTCAAGCCAGGGCCTCACTTGACGTTCTGCGTCACAGCGCATTTGTGGAGCAATTTGTTTTGAGGACAGTGATTGACATGATTGACATGATTGACATGATTGACATGATCCATAAACTTGGGACGAATCATGATGTAATTAAATATATTAAATGTAATCCGTAAACCAATGTAAACCAATTTGTCAAAATCTGTCCCATGTTTGATCTGAAATTTGGCGCTTTGAAGTTCAGTGGCAACCAAGGCGGGACAGTGGCTGGAGCTATGCAGTGATCTGGATGGGCAAGGAAGTTTGCGACATGGTGGGCACCCCAGTACAGTCGGAAGGTTGTGCTGCTTTTGGAAGGCAGCGCAGGTGTTCTTATTTTCTGGCCATAGTATAGGTAGTTCGGGGGTCAAGAGCCAATGATTTTTGACATCCCGGGGCGTCTTTGAAAGGATTTTGATTGCTGAGACTTCGTTGGATGAGGAAAAGGATGATGCATGATCCAATTGTATCCAATTGTGCCACATTTAGTCTGCACCCGAAGATCTTGAGATCTGGACTCAGGTAGCACAGGGCTGTATGTCTACATTTCAGGCGTCCTCGCTGTGAACGATCCCTGGATACAAACATGGGTAAGGACCTTAGGCAGAAAGCGGCGTTGAAACTCCATAAACACAGCAAACATGTGAAGCAACTACCTGAGTAAAGGTAACAACTGTGTAACAACTCCCTTAACTTCACCACATTGATTTTCTAAGTTGCACGCCATGATATGACATGGTTCCTGAAGCAGCGCCCGAAACTTGCAGAATGGTCTTGATCGTTGTGGCCCGCCATCCTCAAATCCGGAAAGACAACTGCACGATGGAAGATGCAAAACAAAAATTAGCGAAATCGACCAAATCATACCAAATCCATCCAAATCCTTGAAATGTTTTGAGGTCGGCCGCCTCACCCTACTTTGTGCCACATCTGCGTGCAGCTCCGCAGCAGAGGCGAAGCAATTGAAATGCTGCCTAAAACCGAAGTGCTATGAAGTGCTTGTCAAACACCCCGAAGGGACACGGGGCACCAATGCGGCTCATCAAGTTTACTCAATGGATCTCAATGGGCCCTTGCGGTTTGGTCTGGTTGGCAGGCCTTCTTGGCCCTTGATTGTGCAAGCCGACCAGGGCAGGCGGGGAAAGGGTGAGGTGGATCTGAAAAAGTCATACGATTGATCACTCTGATCACTCACCATCTCTCGCCATTTGCCTTCCTTTTTTTTGCCAAGTCTGTGCCCAATCAAGTTGTTCAATGTTTTTTAGCTTTTCCACCTGGAGCTGTCGCTGGCCTAGGTCATACAGACTCCGGCAGCTCAGCTTCAAGATCTGCCAGACTTGTACGAGGCCGGCCCATTTGCATCCATTTGCATCACAAGTTGACAAAGTCAAAACAACTGAAAGGCATGTACATGATGCACGGTCCTGCAGTACTTGAAATCTATTGAAATCTGATGCTTTAGGAATCTTAGCCCTGCAACTATTCAATCCATCATGAATCCGGATAGTTCTGTTCGAAAACCGGCATGTTCTTGCTTGAAGTCGCTCTTGTTTTCGAGCAGGATGAAGAGATAAGCAGTGCGGCTGAGAGAAAAGAGGTAGCCATACTCTCAGTATCTCCAAGGGGGCTGTGGGAGTTAGAAGGTGGCTGAACGTGATGACTGTACGTGACGGAATGTGACTGAAGACCGAAAAAAACTGCAGATTTGTTTCAAGCAGAGCTTCTCAGGTTCTCAATTTGCAGAATCTGGTTCCTGGAGTTCATTACAGGCAGAAATTGCAACAAATTGGCAAGATTTGGCAAGTGTTTAGATATGTTTAGATTTTGCATATTTTGCCAGTGTCACTATGTGTCACTTCAGACAAACGATTCTCCATGTTTTGAAGGCTTTGTACAGACTTGGACGGATCAGGCGCACCATCTCACATTCGCGCATTGTGTAGTGACAGTGTAGTGATTGCAGGGTTGCAACATGGGCAACGTGTTGCAACCATGAAAAAATCCGACCCAGGTCCCATGACGACTTTCTATTCCGGTTTCGATGTCTACGTCACAAGTCTTCGTTTCGTCCTGAGTCTCTTTGCCTTTTTGAAGGATGATATCGAGAACACATGTGCAATTTCTGCGCAATCACGTCCAGCCAGATTTTGATAGCGTGTGTAGATGTTCGTAGTAAACTTTGTATAACGTGATATAACGTGCCAACGCTCCCCAGAAATTCAAGGTCAAGCTACCCCGGACTTGGTGGTGAAGGGCAAGGCGCGACTTTTGGAAACGGAGCACCTGCAAAGGCGTAAGAATTGCAAAGGAGAGCCGGAGAGCCATGCAACTGAGAGAAGGTTTTGATATGGGAATGGGCCTTCAGAATGGGTTAGAACCTATAATATATTATGAAAATTATATATAATTATATAATATATTACATTTTGTGAGGATGAAGATTCATTTACCATAAGTTGCTGATTACCAGGGGTAATGTTTACCCCGGATTAATAAACCCCCCCCCCCCTATAGGTCAACTAGGTCAACAAGGTCCAGTGAGGAGGTCCAAAAACCGAACCCCCCAAATAATGTGACCATTCATTCATCCATAAACGATTATTATAAGATTCCTATGGGAAAAGATTGGAAAACCTATGGTAAACAATCAAATTCCTATGGAAACATTAGAAAATTAATGATAAACCATCAGATTCCTATGAGAAAAGGTAAGAAAACCTATGGTAAACCATCAGATCCCTATGGGTTTCTCATAGGAATCTGATGGTTTATCATAGGTTTTCTGATCTTTTCTCATAGGAATCTGATGGTTTATCATAGGTTTTCTGATCTTTTCTCATAGGAATCTGATGGTTTATCATAGGTTTTCTCATCTTTTCTCATAGGAATCTGATGGTTTATCATAGGTTTTCTCATCTTTTCTCATAGGAATCTGATGGTTTATCTCATCTTTTCTCATAGGAATCTGATGGTTTATAGGTTTTCTCATCTTTTCTCATAGGAATCTGATGGTTTATCATAGGTTTTCTCATCTTTTCTCATAGGAATCTGATGGTTTATCATAGGTTTTCTCATCTTTTCTCATAGGAATCTGATGGTTTATCATAGGTTTTCTCATCTTTTCTCATAGGAATCTGATGGTTTATCATAGGTTTTCTCATTTTTTCTCATAGGAATCTGATGGTTTATCATAGGTTTTCTCATCTTTTCTCATAGGAATCTGATGGTTTATCATAGGTTTTCTCATCTTTTCTCATAGGAATCTGATGGTTTATCATAGGTTTTCTCATCTTTTCTCATAGGAATCTGATGGTTTATCATAGGTTTTCTCATCTTTTCTCATAGGAATCTGATGGTTTATCATAGGTTTTCTCATCTTTTCTCATAGGAATCTGATGGTTTATCATAGGTTATCTCATTTTTTCTCATAGGAATCTGATGGTTTATCATAGGTTTTCTCATCTTTTCTCATAGGAATCTGATGGTTTATCATAGGTTTTCTCATCTTTTCTCATAGGAATCTGATGGTTTATCATAGGTTTTCTCATCTTTTCTCATAGGAATCTGATGGTTTATCATAGGTTTTCTCATCTTTTCTCATAGGAATCTGATGGTTTATCATAGGTTTTCTCATCTTTTCTCATAGGAATCTGATGGTTTATCATAGGTTTTCTCATCTTTTCTCATAGGAATCTGATGGTTTATCATAGGTTTATCCAGCTCACGAAAGGCTCTTGCAACGATAAAAAGTCAACTTTTCCCATCATCATGAGCCAAAAAACCTTTGAAACCAGTGTGTTTGGCAATAGTGCGGCTTCGACCTACTGAAAGCACAGCTCTTGCAATGAAAGAGGGCCACCTCTTCCCAACATGATGAGCCAACCCACAAAAAACCTCTGAAACCAGTGTGTTTGGCAATAGCGTGGCTTCGACCTAATGAAAGCACAGTTCTTGCAATGAAAGAGAGTCACCTCTTCCCAACATGATGAGCCAACCCACAAAAAACCTCTGAAACCAGTGTGTTTGGCATTAGCGCGGCTTCGACCTAATGAAAGCACAGCTCTTGCAATGAAAGAGAGTCACCTCTTCCCAACATGATGAGCCAACCCACAAAAAACCTCTGAAACCAGTGTGCTGGCAATAGTGCGGCTTCGACGTACGGAAAGCACAACTCTGGCAATGAAAGAAAGCCACCGTGAAGTAATTAGAGGGAATGTGTAGAAGCAGGCAAAGGTAGCTAACATAACAGCAAGACATTGGCAGAGAAAGACGCACAACACACAAGCATTCAAGCCAGCTGTGTGCCACCCCCGGGCTGCAAGACGCACCCTCCGGGAATCTAAGCCGCTGTGTGCCACCCCCGGGCTGCAAGACGCACCCTCCGGGAATCTAAGCCGCTGTGTGCCACCCCCGGGCTGCAAGACGCACCCTCCGGGAATCGAACCTGGGTCCATCGGCCCAAAGCCTATTCAATACCACTATGCCACGGGGGCTTGCCCTAAATGGCAAAAAATGGCTTTATAGAACCACTGACTGGGCCTGGAAGGGGTTTGCCGGAATCAAAAACACAATGCGCAACACCCCCCTAACCCCCCAACCAAACCCGCAGCCAAACCCCCAAACAACCCCCCAATTAATGAAACCCCCCCAAATAACCCTCCCCAACCCTTTGGTAGTGGCCTCCAGCTCACGAAAGGCTCTTGCAACGATAAAAAGTCACTTTTTCCCATCATCATGATACAAAAAACCTCTGAAACCAAGGTGTTTGGCAATAGTGCGGCTTCAACCTACTGAAAGCGCAGCTTTTGCAATGAAAGAGAGACACCGCTTCCTAACATGATGAGCCAACCCACAAAAAACCTCTGAAACCAGTGTGTTTGGCAATAGCGTGGCTTCGACCTAATGAAAGCACAGCTATTGCAATGAAAGAAAGCCACCTCTTCCCAACATGATGAGCCAACCCACAAAAAACCTCTGAAACCAGTGTGTTTGGCAATAGCGCGGCTTCGATACTGAAAGCACAGCTCTTGCAATGACAGAGGGCCACCTCTTCCCAACATGATGAGCCAACCCACAAAAAACTTCTGAAACCAGTGTGTTTGGCAATAGTGCGGTTTCGACCTACTGAAAGCACAGCCCTTGCACTGATAGAGGGTGCCTTCTATCAAATTACGTCGTCGTTGTAGTAGTTGTAGTTGTAGTTGTAGTTATAGTTGTAGTAGTAGTAGCAGCAGTAGTAGTAGTAGCAGTAGTAGTAGTAGTTGTTGT